GCAGACCATGCTTTTTTTTTTTTTTAATTTAAGCAATCTCTATGCCTAACATGGGGCTTGAACTCACAAACCCAAGATCAAGAGTTACATTCTCTACTGACTGAGCCAGCCAAGCACCCCTGCAGACCATACTTTGAATAGCAAGATTCTAAAGAATCTTAATGGTTATATAATCAAATACATACCCCCTGGGGAAACTGAGAGCCAGAAAGAGCAGCTGTCTTTGGGTAAGAGTGAAGTGTTGATAGAGCTAAGACCAGAACTTTAAGCTTCTGTTTGAATAGTGGGTAGTCTTCACTATCCAATGTGGACGTCCATTTGTGAGACAATATGCAGGGCAGGGGGGCAGAAGGGAGAGATAGAGAAGCAGGGGAAGGCGGCACCCTGGATCCTCTCTGGGTAACCCCAGTCTCCCTACCCCTATTTTTAAGTGGGGGCAATGAAGTCCTTCTTCTCACTGTACTTTTTTCTCCCCCTCTAAAAGCTTGGCATAGAGATTAAATAAGATTTTGCTGGGGCTGGGAAAAATCTGTATTCCTTTCTTCCCTCCACCTGACAAAGTAGCAAGTAGTCAATACAAATATCATCCGCCAGTAATATTAAATTAGTATCTACAGAGCTGACACTCCAGGAAGAGTGTGACAGCATTCCCAAGGTGAAAACTTCTCATCTGCCCCCCCCAGATCCCCTCTCCTCCTGCCATTTACCCAGAGTTTCTCAATTGGTAAGCTGCAGCAGTATTTATCTCCTTGAAGTCATATCACAAAATAAAATGATGTTAAAATGCAGAGTGTGACCTTCTGATTTTTTCCATTCAACTGGATTAATTCTTCAGACTCTCCAGAGGTGGAAATAATATGAGCAGTACTTCCAAGCAAATTCTGACAACCTGATTCCTAAAGAAATGATACAGGGGAAAAATAGAATCCACAAAACCCAGGAGACCTCAGAGGTCACATAACCTAATATCCCACCCAATGTCTGAATCTCCTCTACAATATGCTGCAATGCCTGGACCTACCTGGACCATTCCACTTGTGAGGCCTCCCCCATGCCATGTAGACTTCTCTGCATGAAAGCAAGCTCCAATACCTGTTGTTATTGTTGTTGTTGTTGTTGTTTTTAAAGATTTTATTTATCCATAAGAGACAGAGAGAGAGAGAGGCAGAGTCACAGGCAGAGGGAGAAATAGGCTCCGTGCAAGGAGCCCGACCTAGGACTTGATCCCGGGTCTCCAGGATCACACCCTGGGCTGAAGGCAGTGCTAAATCGCTGAGCCACCCAGGCATCCCTCCAATACCCTTTAGCACAGTCTTACTCCTTGAGTCATTCCCCAGACTCACTCGATGCCTTGAATCCCAACTATCCCATCTTCTGCTCCTGTTACTCGTTTTCCCTATTAATGAGCTTGGTTTGTCATTTGGAGCTGATATTCCACCAAGACAGGACCAGGTTGAAGTGAATTATAATCAATGAGCCAAGGTCATGGCCATTTAAGGAAGAGCCTTTTCTATTTTTCTCGAGTCCACCTCCCTTTTAGAGTTTCAAGCCATAGAATTCTAACATTGTTATCGCTAATCTCTGTAAAGTCTGCCTTCTCAATGTCTAAGGCCTGTGTTTGTGCTTAGCCACATCACAGTCACTTTCTCCTAGTGTCCCCACCCTTTCTAAGTCTCTAATTAGCTCTTCTGTACGGAGTAGGATTCCGATCAGAGTAGCATTTTCCCCAGACTTAGGAGGCAATGGGGGTACAGTGGCACCCAAGCTTTAGATACCTGTACACGGTATGGGTTTAGGGATCTACATTTTAATAAGCATCTCAGGAGACTCTGCTGCAGGTGGGTAGGAGGCTGAGCTTGGAGAAATATTGATGGGAATTTTGGTGTCAGACACATTGGGTTTCAGTTCCTAGCTTTGCAACTTACTACCTGTGTGACCTTGAACAAATTGGTTTATTTTTATAAGCCCCGGTTTTATCATCTCTCTCTCTCTCTCAAGATTTTGTTTATTTGAGGGACGCCTGGGTGGCTCAGTGGTTGAGCGTCTGCCTTTGGCTCAGGGCGTGATCCTGGAGTCCAGGGATCGAGTCCCGCATCGGGTTCCTTGCATGGAACCTGCTTTTCCTCCCTCTGCCTGTGTCTCTGCCTTTCTGTCTCTCATGAATAAATGAATGAATCTTTAAAAAAAAAAAAAAGATTTTGTTTATTTGAGAAACAGAGTGTGTGTGCAAACATAATTGGGGGTGGAGACGGGGAGGAGAGCACAGGGAGAAGCAGACTCCCCGTGGAGCAGGGACCCCAGGGCAGGGCTTCATTCCAGGACCCTGAGATCATGACCTGAGCTGAAGGCAGCTGCTTATCCCACTGAGTCACCCAGGCACACCTCCTCATCTCTTTTAAAGAGATGATAACATCCATCTCTGAGTATTAAAACCATGAAATGAGATGTCTGTATAGTGCTTCATGTAATTCAAGGCAAGTACTGAGCCCTCAATAAATACAAGTTAGCATTGCTATTTTAGGGTAACTGCTTCTTTTATCTTCAGGATAGGGAACTTATTAGAAGACGATTTATTGATGTCCTTTTTAGATGACTGAGATTTCTAATAGATGCTGGTGAGCCTTCTGATCACCCTACGACTTTCTCCTATGTCAGTTTTATGATTCCTCTCTCAATAATGTATCACCATTTCTATGCATAGCCATGGGCCTTGCACTTAGTAGGGGATCAAAATTTGCTGAGTATTTTTTGAATGAATGAGTGCCATCTGACCAGGCCTTCTGCGCTACACTCTTAGGGCAACATTACCTCTGCCAGTGCCCTTCAGCATCTTCTGAATGTTACAGTGCTCATTTGGTTGGTTACCCATTGCCTCTGTCCACTGAAGAGTGCCATTCCACAGTGGCAATGGTTTCTGTCAGTTTGTATTTACTTGGTTGTGTTAAAACTTCCAGTTCAGGGGCACCTGGGTGGCTCAGTCAGTTGAGTGTCTGCTTTCGGCTCAGGTCATGATCCTAGGTCCTAGGACTGAGCACTGAGTCAGGCTCCCTGCTCAGCGTGGAGCCTGCTTCTCCTTTTGCTCCTCCCTGCTGCGTGTGCTCTCTCATTCTCTCTCAAATAAATAAATAACATTTTAAAAAACAAAACTCGGGCAGCCCCGGTGGCCCAGCGGTTTAGCGCTGCCTTCAGCCAGGAGTGTGATCCTGGAGACCGGGGATCGAGTCCCGCATCGGGCTCCCTTCATGGAGCCTGCTTCTCCCTCTTCCTGTGTCTCTGCCTCTCTCTCTCTCCGTGTCTGTCATAAATAAATAAATAAAACCTTGAAAAAGAAATAAAATCTTTAAAAAAAAAGATAAAAAACAAAACTCCCAGTTCATTTCATCATATAATATATACTCTGTGCATATGGTGCATTTTTAACTAGAGAGGTAGTGAGAGATGAAGCTGGTAATAAGAGAGTGGGAGTTGAGGTGGTGGTGGGATATACTCTGACAGCCAGGTGATAAGGGAACCACTTTTTCCTTTCACAGAAATATTCAGCATAGTTCTGTTGTTGTTACCAAAGAATTAATTCAGGGGAATTGAGCCTGCAAAACGGATGCTCCATCAGGGAATAAATACAGATAGTGCAGAGCACACGTGTGTAACTACAAGGATGGGAGGGCTCTGGTATTTGGGTTTGGAAGGTGGTAGAGCATGGGGTTAGAAGCAGAGGTTCAGAGGCTGGTTCTCCACTTGTGTACTGTATGTGACCCTGGGCAAGTCACTTGAAGACCTTGAACCTCAGTCTACTCTTCTGTAAAGTGAGAGTAATACTAATATCCTATCTCATAAGGTTGCCATGAGCATTACAGGCAATAAAATACGTCTAGCACTTCATATGGGGCAGGGACATAGGGCTCGATAACTGGGAACTGACAGTACTATTAGAATCCGCCAGAGGATCCCGGGTGGCTCCGCAGTTTAGCACTTGCCTTCAGCACAGGGCATGATCCTGGAGTCCCGGGATTGAGTCCTGCATCGGGCTACCTGCTTCTCCCTCTGCCTGTGTCTGTGCCTCTCTCTCTCTCTTTCTCATGAATAAATAAATAAAATCTTAAAAAAAAAATCCACCAGTCCTCCACGCCAGGGGTTCAGTGGGTCTCATCACTGAGAGGGAGGAGTGTCTGTTCTCTGCTGGTTCTCTTCTTTTGACACCCTGGCTCTCTGGTGTCCTCTTATCTCTTGGCTTATGTCAGGCTGGTCACTTCCTTGTAGCTGAGCTGATAATACTAATTGCAGGGAGTTCACGGCCTCTCTATCTACAGTTTCTCAACCTTCAGTCTTGAAGGTATGATGACTTCCTGGCTTCCCTATTCATGCTCTGTTACCTGAGTTCTAATTGCTATTGCATGACGAGGCCGCCCTCCGAATGTAAATGCAAATACACAGAGCAGATCAGCACAGAGCTGCTCCTCCCACCCCGACCCCTGATCTTGTGCGGTTGCTTCAGGAAGGTTTTATAGACCAGTGAATCCTAAATCTGGCTGGTCCTTAGATTCACCTGGGATGCTTTAGCAAAAAAAATTCAGCTTCCAGGATTCTACTCTCAGTCCTTTTGAATTGAAACGTTTGTGGCCAGGAACCACTATATTAAGAACCCCTAGAGTTACTACACACATAAAAGGAATCACTTTGGGGGTCAGTGTTGCCTGATGAATTAATGGCCATTACATCAAAGTGGTCATCCTCTCTTTCGCATGGGATGGAGCAGAGGAAAGCTTAACATTTTGTTTCTCACCTCAAACCCCTTTCTGGAATGTATCATAAGCCTGCTTTGTACGCTACACCTGACATTTCTTAAGTATTCTGAGAGTATTCATCTCCTGCAGGTGCAATCACTAGTCACTGATTTTATTAGGAAAGAGTGCCTTCCAGCTCTCCCTATAAAACCTCTTTAGAGCATTCACTTGCCTACAGCTAGTGCTACAGTCTGGAAGTGTAAGGATTAAGCCTTCCACATGTACTACATCTGCTTACATGGCCTGAGATTCCCAGAGAAGAGGACTATACTTCATATCCCAGCCAGAGAGAAGTATGAGTGGGCCAACTCAGCCCTTAGGAAGAAGAGGAAGAAGAAAGAGGTCTATTTTAGCTACATGGGGAAAATCCTAAAGCAAGTGAGTTGGTGCTCTCTTTGTAGAAATTTAGAATGGCCAAGACAGATTATCATGTTAGAGGCCTGGGTGTTGTTGTTGTCGTTGTTGTTTTACTTCAGCTTTTTCTCATATAGGAGTGCTTCTTCACACATCGAGTTCCCGAAAAGTTGTGTGCAAGCAGCTTCTATAAACTGGATCTGCTGATGGTTGCTGTCTTTTCCCACTTGGCTTGGATTCTGTTGGCAGCAACTCTGAACACCTGAGCTCTTAGTGTCCCTCTTGTATCTGTTGACAGGCAATCTATAATTTGATTCCTAATACCCTCTTATAGAGAGAGGATTCACCACCTAGTCTGTTCTTATTCCTTGAAGAGTTACATGTATTGAGTTTTCACTAAATGGTGCTCTGTACTTAGAATGTACCTAAGATGAGTAGGTTTTCATTTTTTCTTCCTGCCCACCCAGTATTGCCCCATAGCATACAATTGCAGACGAAAATCAGAAGTCTTTCCCTTCAAAAGACGCTATGGGGAAGAGAATAAGACTTTCTTCAGGACAATGAAGCAAGGCTGAGTGTTCACAGGTGACTGTACCAAAACTCCCTGTATTCCAGTGATATCATTTGGAATCTGTTGCTTATCCTGTGAGAAGAAGGGGGAAATGGGATTAAAGAAAGGAGAAGGAAAGAAGGTATGTGATATAGAGCAGGGCTTCTCAACCACAGCCCTATTGACATTTTGGGGCTGCTTAATTCTTTGTTGGGGGGCTGTCTTGAGCATTATGGGATATTGTGCAGCATCCCTGGACTCTACCCACTGGATGCCAGTAGCATCCTCCCGCCTAACCAAAAATGCCCAGAAACATTGTCCCCAGTTGAGAACCACTACTGGAGAGCTTGCGTTTTCTGGAAGGACTCTCTGTGGGAGTTCTTAGACTATGCTTAGTACACTAATCTTTAGTCTGTAATTGGCCTCTTCTTTACTGCATGGGTCTGGCAGGCCACTCTGCTTTTGCAAGCCTCTCAAGGGTCAGGACTGTGCTTTGGGTCAGCCCCTCATGGTGCTGTGAGGATAAAACAAGATGCTGGTTGGGTAAACATTATTGAGTGTCTCAGTGCAAGACAAATCTGCTAGGGAAGCTGAGATGAAAACAATGTGGTCCCTTTTGTAAAGGGGCTCATAGTCCTGTGGGATGGGAGCACTGAGGAAATACTCATACGTTTTTAGAACCAGGAGGAACTCTTCAAATCCGCTTCAAGCCTCTTCCTTTTACAAAAAATAGAGGTCCAGTGTGAGAATATTACTTGCTTACATGACCTCTCATACCCATACAGAACTAGGATTAGAGACTTGGGTAGGTGATTTTCAGGGGAATGTTCTTCTGACTATTCCAGCCTAACTTTATTTTTTTTTTAAAGATTTTATTTATTTATTCATGATAGACATAGAGAGGGAGAGAGAGAGGCAGAGGGAGAAGCAGGCTCCATGCTGGGAGTCCGACCTGGGACTCGATCCCGGGACTCCAGGATCACACCCTGGGCCAAAGGCAGGCGCCAAACTGCTGAGGGATCCCCCCAGCTGCCTAACTTTAGATAAGTTGTTAATGACATAAGATAGCATGTGATACAGGTTCTGAGACACAAAGAGTTCTGGTGTCAGTGAGAGGTCATGTGGACACAGCTAACCCAGAGGGGCACCAGGGGAAGGGCCTTAAAGGGTGGATAGGATTTGAAAGGTGAGGTTGGATGAGGCCATGGTAGGTAGGGATGACAGATCAACAGTGGCGTGGAGACCAGAAAAGATAGGGACACATCCGAGGAAGACCAAGTTTTCCCAGCATGGCTAGAGATCATGTGGTGCAAGGATGTAAGGAGGCAAATTAAGAAGTGTTAAAATGCTTACTAATATGAAATATACAGTGGCATGTCTACTCTAAAATTACTTTTTTTCCATCTTCCAAAGGTGTTGGATGTTAGCTCTGCTTCTATTGGGGAAAAATCAAGGCACAAAACTTATGGCTGGAGTGTCTGTATTCTACAGATAAGGGTGATCTTTCTCTCCAACTACAAATTCCCCTCCCCCATCTTCCTCAGACAATTGATAGGTCCAATGGCCTAATTTCTTTCATCACATTCCTACCATTGTACCTCCAGGTGGTTTGTATGGCTCCACCTGCGCATGAATCCATGGAAGCCATGGGGGCTGAGTTAGACCATAAATTGCTTACTTTGAAAAGTGTTCATTTCTCTGTCTTACCTACCCTTGTGCCATTTCTCTCCCAGATTCACCCAGACTTCAGTGGATGCTCCTGGATCTTGGATGCACTGGGCTCCCTGGAGGATTGGCTGCTGGAACAGGTTAGCCTGGAGGCGGTTCGACTATCCTTCTACAACCACAGAAGAGCTGTTACCAGCAGAGAGATCCTTGGAGCAGTTAAGCAGAGATCCTTTCTGAAGAGCTTTTGTGTAAACGAAGTGTTCTGAATGGTGGTGCTGTTGAAAGGATTGCACTTGTCAAAAATAATCAGATAGGTCAGAGGACTGAGTTGGAAGACAAGGTATCTGATAAATACCTGTTGCAACAGGAGTCTTGGTACTACATACCTGGTCTCTGGGCCCTGTGTTTTTGGCCTCTGACCTAATTTGTGTGTGTGTGGGGGGGGAATATAAAGGCATTTTCTCTTATGTCATGTTATGCTTGTTTATGGCTTTAAAATTTTTCTGCGGCATGCTTCTCCCATTTGAACTTACCTATTTCTTTTTGGAGGACACAGTTCAACCCATTACACTGTGTACTCCCCATCTTTTCCATCTTCAGCCCCAGGGTGGAGAATGCTGCACTGGAATGAACTGATGATTTTTTTTTTTTTAAAGCACCTCTACTTAAATTTGAAAGAATAAAAAAGGGGATCCCTGGGTGGCGCAGCGGTTTGGCGCCTGCCTTTGGCCCAGGGCGCGATCCTGGAGACCCGGGATTGAATCCCACATCAGGCTCCCGGTGCATGGAGCCTGCTTCTCCCTCTGCCTGTGTCTCTGCCTCTCTCTCTCTCTCTCTCTCTCTCTGTGACTATCATAAATAAATAAATAAAAAATTTGAAAGAATAAAAAAGGAGTGCCTGGGTGGCTTTGTTGGTTAAGTGTCTGGCTTTGGCTCAGGTCCTGATCCTGGGGTTCTGGAATCGAGTCCCACATCAGGCTCTCTGCTCAAGGGGAGAGTCTGCTTCTCCTTTTCCCTTTGTTGCTTCTCCTGCTTGTGCTCTCTTGTTCTCAAAAAAGTAAATCTTAAAAAAAAAAAAAAAGGAAAGAAGGGATTTCTTCTTTGTGTAGAGGACTCATGGTGTTGGTTACCCATGTAGCACTTAGCATAATAATGTGTGTGTAATGAGTGTCTGTCAAATGTAGAAGCTGATCCCAAGTGTGGAAAAACAAGACCATTATAGTAGCATTTTAAAAATACAATAATGTAGGAAGAGAAAGAATAAATGGGCTGATAATTTTAGACATGGTGGTCTGGTAGGCTTGGGTAGGTGATGTGAAGAGGAAAGGTGCTAAGCATGGAGAAGGATTCTGGGCTGGAGGAACAGCCTGAGCAAAGGTCCTGAGGCAGTCAGGAAAGCTTTAGCTTGTTAGAGAAAACTAAATGAAAGCCCAGGCAGCTGGGTTCTAGCAAGCAAGGGAGAAATATAGTAGGAGAGGAGGTTGGAGAAAAGGCCAAGTCTTGCAGGATTTTATTTTATTCCAAGGACAGTGTGAAGCCACTGAAGGATTTTAACTGGGAAACTGACATCTTGTTCACTTTTTTCATTTTTTTTAGTTGAGGTTTAGCCTACAGTAGAGTAGACTCTACTCTAGTTGAGGTTTTAGTTGAGGTTTAGCTCTACAGTAGAGTGTATAAATCTGAACACCCCTCAAAGTTTTGTGTATATATACACATGTCCATATTAAATTACAGACCATTTCCATCACTGCTGCTATGTCAAAAATATATTGAAGAGTGTGCCAATGGGAAAATTAGTTAGAAATGTTTTGAATGCATTTAGTAGAGAGATGACAGCAGCCTGTAGGAGTGTGGGTGGTAGTCAAGATGGGGAGAAGTGAAGAGATCTAAAATGAATCTAAGATAGAATTGATATGGTTAATTAGCAGGATGAATGTGAGCAGTGAGGAAAAAATGCTTCCTCAGTTTGGAGCTTGAGCAGCGTGGTGGACAGTGATGCCAGCTGCAGAAATGGAGAAGGCTGGAGTAAGAAGGACAGGTGTTTTTGGAGAGGGGACAATTGAGGATTCCATTCTGTGCATGTTTTCAATACTAGTGAACCCTGCAAATAGAGATGCCAAATAGAAAGTACTGGCGCAGGGATGCCTGGGTGGCTCAGTGTTTGAGAGTCTACTTTTGGCTCAGGGCATGATCCTGGGGTCCTGGGATTGAGTCTCACATCAGGCTCTCTGTGGGAAGCCTGCTTCTCCCTCTGCCTATGTCTCTGCCTCTCTCTGTGTTTCTCATGAATAAATAAAGAAAATATTTAAAAAGAAAGGACTGGCCCAAAGATACAAATGTGGACATCATCAGCAGGAATGGGTAGGATCACCTAAGAAAATGGGGGGGGGGGAGACTTTTCAGAACCAAGGTTAAAGAAATTCTAATATTTTAAATCAGATGGTGGAGAATGGACCTACCAAGAAGGAGAAATCTGAGAAATCAGAAGAGGGTGGTGCTATGGAAGCCAAGAGGAGAGAGAGTGGTCTGGTCTGCTGTACACCATCTTGGGGAGAGTGTTACAAGGAGACATGGACGTCCACTGCATTTGGTGACATGTAGGTCATAGTGACCTTGAGAAGTCAATTCTCTGGAGCAAGGCAGGCATCAGGCAGTTTTAAGCAGATAGAAGAGGGAGTGGAGGTAGTCGGTAGAGACAGCTTTTCAGATGGTATTGAGACAAGAGGAGGAATTTATTTATTTATTTATTTTTAAATTTTTATTTATTTTTTATTTATTTATGATAGCCACACAGAGAGAGAGAGGCAGAGACATAGGCAGAGGGAGAAGCAGGCTCCATGCATCGGGAGCCCGACGTGGGATTTGATCCCGGGTCTCCAGGATCACGCCCTGGGCCAAAGGCAGGCGCCAAACCGCTGCGCCACCCAGGGATCCCAAGAGGAGGAATTTAGTGCTGAAAGAGAACAGAGACATGGGATGGTAGCCAGTGTCACTTGGTATGCAGATATTTAAGATGTGCTCAGTTGTTTGCTTATGGGAATTCTGCAGAATAGACTGAGATAATACGTCAGAAGGTAGAAAAAAGATCCAAGATCTTGAGGAGGTAGGAGGTGGGGGCGTTGGATTCAGAGCAGAAGTAGAAGAGAGGATGTGTACAAACACAGGTGTAGAGATTTCATGGTGAAAGTTTGAGGAAGTCAGTACCTTTTTCTTTTTCTTTTAAAAGGAAGCCAGTGAGCGTAGAAGAGGAATGTGAGAGGGTTGACAATATGAGGTCATTGTCTAAGGGGGTAGGAGAGTGAGACTTGGATCCCTGTAGACAGATGGCTCATCAGCAATGAGTGCCTGTTCAGTGGGCAATTACCAACCAATAGCAAGGCCAGTCTTGCTGTGTGACCTTCTCTGGCCACTGGTATCTGCTCCAAGCTAGGAGGGAGAGAGGAGCCAGAGAGCAACTCCATGGTGAGTGGAGCCATCCAGGCCAGCCAGGAAGGACAGGGGATGAGAGGGGGAAGGACATTATAGGGTTCATAGATATAGAAGAGGTCAGGCCTGTAAACTGAGTTTCAAAGAAGGATTTTCTCTCTCCAGCATGTCCCAGAATTAGTTCACAGATGAGGGCACATGCCTAGGAAGCAGTGGTGGCACTCAGTGACCCCTCCTTAAAGTCTACCTGCTCAGATTTAGGTTGTCAGCAGATCATAAAGCAGCCTTCTATGAAATGATCTGGGATTGATCTGCTCCACTTGGGAGACACCCATGTCCTCCCCCCATTCTCTCCAGTTGTTTCTTATGGGATTCTGTACCACCAACCCCAGGCTCTCTACGGGGATGGAGAGGCTGCTGTTCAGGTGTGTAACTAGAAGTGGATTGTCTGGGCACTGAAGGCAATCTAGTGGCTGTTTGCTCAGACCTGGGCTTCTCTGCTAGGTTCCTGCTGTCCTGGGGATTCAGGACAAGCATCCTAGGGCAGGTTCGGGCATCCCCCCAAACCCAACTAGGGTTTGAACAAATGCTGGCTTAGTGACACAAGCCTCTTCTTGCCCATGGTTGTCCTGGGGAGTTGTCAATCTGGCTGACTCAAGGGGTGAGTGAGGATCCCCCTCTCTCTACTACCCTCTGAGAGTTGACTGTGCTCAGGGATCTGAGAGAGTCCTGATGTGTCTGGCTCTTCCTAGACTCCTGCCCCAAGCACTGGGATCTGGCTTAGTCTAGAGAAAAAGCTGGCTTCCTCCCCATATTGTCCCCCATCATAGGTACTAGGCTTGACTTCTGGGCCCAGCAGATTCAGATACTTCTCCTCAACTGCCTAAAATGAATTTAGATAGAGGACCTAACAGGAAGAGAGCTATTAACATAGTTAACTACATTATGATATGAACTGGGAATGGTAGACAGGGAGGAACCCGGGAAGGCCTGTTTGATCAAAGTTCTCCATGCCCTACTATTTCAGTGGCCCACACATTTGTTTACTGAACATCTGCTCTTTTTCATCTTCCTGTGAATTTCATTCCTTCCTTTTATTTTATTTATTTTTTTAAAGATTTTTATTTATTCATGAGAGAGAAAGAAAGAGACAGAGACACAGGTAGAGGGAGAAGCATGCTCCATGCAGGGAACCCTACATGGGATTCCATCCCGATCCTGGGTCCCCAGGATCACGTCCTGGGCTAAGGCAGTGCTAAACCGCTGAGCCCCCCGGGCTGCCTTCATTCCTTCCTTTTAAAGTCCCAGACTCCTATTCTCTTCTCTTCAGATCAGAAAGGTATATACACCTCATTTTGCTTGATTGTCTTTAGAATTTACATGTCTGTGTGGATTCCCCTTAAATATGAAATGAAATTTGATTTTTTTTTTCTTGTTGTCCTATCTCATGTCAACTGATTTATTTAGTCCAGTCAGAGGGACCTTGAAGGGGAGAGAAAATTTTCCTTCCCCAACAGAATAGATATGATATTGGGACAAAGTGGCTCTATCTGTTGTAGCCATAGCCAGGCCTGTGACAACCTGCCCTATTCTGATACCCAGGTCACTGGAAGAGTTAACAGTTTCTTGGTCTGAGTGGTTTGGGCTTTCATGCCAGGGAGGCTTGAGTCCACTCCCTGCCCTACCACTTATAAGTTGTAAGAGCTCAGGTAGGTTGCCTTACCCCTCTGAGTCTATTTTCTCCTACAAATATAATCATACTGAATTTTCAGGGTTGGTGAAAAGATCAAAGGAAATAGGCTTGTAAGATGCCTAATCAGTGTCTGTACATAGTAGGTGCTCAACAAATGTTCACTCCTTATCTGGGCAGAGCACAAGCTAGCACCGACCTACCCAGAGGAAGCAAGGCTTTTTCCTCCTTCTCACCCTCAGCACCATTTCCAACCTGCTGGCTTCTTCTAACATTGGGTTTAGTCTTCAATTTGGAAATCCTTGCTATGGCTTGGCCTTCAGACTGAATAGGGAGAGGCCATATGTAGGGTGCTTGAAATTTGAGGAGCATTACAGAAACCATCCCTCTTTCATTGGGGAAACCCTCTTGCATGCGGGTGTAGCGGAAGGAAGGGTATTGCCTATGCCTCACCTCCTACACTGGAGACAGACAGGGTGAGGTCCTACCCAGAACTCTGAATCTGGAAGGGAAAGTAAAGTTGAAGGGAGAGTCACAATCATTTTAGGGCAATTGCACCCAGCACCTGGAACCCCTGGGGTACCTGCCCATTTCCTAATCTGGGTCTTTTGTTTCCTGCTGATTCTGTGGGCACCTCCTGTCATTTCAACAAGTCCCCTTTCCACATGGGATAGTTTCTATTGCTTACAAGTAAGAATACTAAATGTTTATCT